AAAATCCAGCGTCCGCTTTAAATTTCTGTCAGTATCCAAGCTTAAATATCAAAATTCAGTAAGGTAGCAGCATTGCTTTCGTTCAGCTTTTTGGTATATTGAAAACAATAAGAAAATCACCATTCAACTTTCTTTCAAGGCATTTTCTCCACACCCTCATTATGCATGCTTGCTAACTATAAGAAGCTTAAGGTCATACTGGCGATTTTATTTTCTATTATCTCACATTTTTTAATTGAAGAGAATTTAAATGAAGAACTTCATTTATGGACTAATGAAATTTAGCAAGAATTGGAGAGAATTTAATAAGTGATCAATTTATCATTTTGTGAAGAATTCATACGGATATATAGAAATCTCTAGTAGGAAATATACAACAATAACGAAAGCAAAAATAAATATAAAATCAATTTTAATTATGAAAGTCCACGTATAGGTGAGGTGACAAATAATCCCACGGATCACTGAGATGAGATGAAGTGAATAAGAAGGAGAACTACTAAGCTGGAATATTGATAGAGGCAAAGACAAACTTGAAGGAATTTGAATTGATGGATATGTGGATTGATTTTTCCGCACTCCTTCTCGAAGCAAATCAATAGATATTGTCCAATCTAAGCTTGCATGTCAGTTATTAAAATATTATCCTTGATAATCCTTTGGAGAGAATGTTTGCAAGTTACCCATTTATAGCAATGAATGAAGTAAGATTAGACCGCAGCATAGCTTCTCCTACATAAAAAGCCCAACACTTCAATATGTTTTGTCTGTTCTTTTGCATGTAATTATGTGCGAAATTGATGGTCAACTTATTGAAATAATAAAGCCACACATAACTTTTCCATCGAACCTCTAAATCTTCCAAGGTATTTTTCAGCCATAAAAGTTTATAAATCCATAATGTCATAGATCTAAATTTAGCTTTTACATCAAATCTTACCATTATACTTCAGATTTTTTACTTACACAAATTGTCTTCGAAGAATATGCAATACTCGAAAGATGACCTTTTATCAACCATAAAGCTTGCATATTTAGAATGTTTATAGGTTTCAAGTGAGATTTTCCCGTATAAAAATTTTGATTTTGATATTTTAATGAGAAATCCTAGAATTGCTTATTTTAATTCTAGGAAATTTGTTGGGCGTTTGTATGAGAAATACAAAATCAATACAAATTTTTATATAATAAACTCTGAAATTTTAATTATTATTCAATGACTATTTTGTTTAAATGGGAATTATACAAGTAACAAGTCTGCATATAAATAAATATAAATTTACAAAATAAGTTAAATAAATAGATTATAAGAGTATATAAGACTATAATGAATTACTATAATGAATAATGCTAACAATTTAGAAATATAAGTATAAAGCTACACTACAATTAGATTGATTAAACAAAACACACAAACAGCTGGCTAGGGTGAGAGTGACGGGTGGACACAGGTTGGACAACAGATGAGATGATTGATTAAGGGATGCTGCAGCAGTGGAGAGAGTTAGAGGGGTATCGGCAGTAGCTGGGTATGCCGAAGAGGCCGTAACTGCTTGTTGGAGGGGTTGGGATGGCTGGCTGCAGCAGTTGGAAGAGGTGGAGAAAATTGCAGCAAGGGTGAAAGGTCCGCGAGAGGTTACAACAAGGTTTGGAAGGGGTCAAAGGGGTTTGAGACAAGGTTGGAAGGTCTAGGAGGGATTACAACAAGATATGGAAGAGTGCCAAAGAGGTTAGCGGCAAGGCCTGAGTTGCTGGAAGGATGTTGGAGGGTTGCTGACTGAAGGTCAACAAGCCAGGGAGAAGGAATATGGTAAGAAATGTGGAGATAATCACCAACTCAGAGCAAGATACAACCGGAGCACCACTTGACCTCGGATACATCCCTAGCAAGGGCGACACCTGGAGGTAGAAATCAGAAATAAGAAATAGACAAAAAAATAAACCTTAAAACACACAACAACATACATATAATGCTAGAGAGAATAGGAGAGTTTGGAATAAGCGTGGTAGTTCCTGCCCATTGAATTAGTCGGTTGGTCCAATCTCCTGTTGGATCGACACCCTTGCTGAACTAGTTGAGCCGGTTTAGCTAAGCCACGACATCAGCTCCCAGGGTTAGGAGAGCATCCGTTGCAGCTTTTACGTCTTTGTAGTGCGGTGTCAAGTTCCCAACATTGAGCGTGGCAGAAAAACTGTAGTCCTCTAGCAAGGAAATCTTATATGCGTTATCATTACGTTTTCAAAGTATTTTGAAAGGCAATTCTACTATGGGCTGGAGTTTTCCGAATGCTCCTACTGGGATCTCTTTTTTTTTTTCAAGCGGATTCACACTAGGTCTCCTTTAAAGGTCACCTTTTTATTTGTCTTGTTCTCCTATGCGGCTATGCCTAGTACTTGTGATTCTGCTTAGTGAACTCTTTTTCGACCTCCTCGTGCAGTTTCTGAATCTCATGCACCGATTCCTCACTCAACATACTAATCTCTGACGTTGGTACAAGGGATACCAATTCGAGGAAAATGAATGGGTTGCATCCGTACACAATCTCAAATAGAGCAAATCTTATAGTCTTTTACTCACGATAGTGTTGTAAGCAAACTCGCTTAAACTAGAATCAGATCCCACTGCTTAATATTCTTCCCAACAAAACATCTCAAAGAGATTTCCAAGGAACCTTACTACCTCCATTTGACAATCTGTCTATGGATGAGCTACGAAACTGAATTGAAGCTTAGTGCCTAATTTTTCTCCGAGTCCTCCAGAAATGACTTAGGAACTTGACATTCCTGTATGAAGTGATGCTCCTGGATATTCCGTGCAGCCTCACATTGTCCCTGAAATACAAGTTTACGACATGTAATGCATCCAGTGTTCGGTAGCAAGATACAAAATGTCATTTTCGAGGATCAATCTACCATGCCCATGACTGAATCCTTGATTCGGTGTATTCTCAGAAGAACCACCACAAAATTCATGCTAACTTCCACCTAAGGTGTCTCTGGTATTGGTAATGCGGTGTATATTCATGTATTATGTCCCCTGGTTTTTGCCACATGACAAATCCGACATTGCTTGACGCGTCACTCCACATCTCTCACTAATCAAGGCCAAATGAAGTGTTCAACAAAAGTCTTGGCCCAGCCAAAATTCCTTGCAATTCCTCTATTGTGGCTTTCCTGAACAATGGACTCCCTCAACGAACATCTAGGAATGCACAACTGAATTTAATAGAACAAGCAACCATCTACCATGTAGTATTGCCCGGTAGGTTTCTTCTAACACTGTTAATAGATTTTCCTAAACTCTCCGTCTGTCTCGTATAGCTCCTTTCTACCTCAGCGCCTATGACTCAAGCCTGCATTGCAGTGATCAATATGTGACGACGGATCAGAGCATCTGCTATGCGGTTCTGACTCGCTGCTTTGTACTTAAGCACGAACTGGAACGACGCTAAAACTCTACCCAAATCGCATGTCGACCCTTCAATATGCTCTATCTGTTTAAAATTTTCAAGTTTTCGTAATCTGTGAACAACGTGAACTCGCTCGTCCATAAGTAATGACTCCAGTGCTCAATAACTCTTACAATACCATAAAACTCCATGTTGTGCGTCAAATATTTTCTCCTGGACTCTGGACTCAGTCTGCTTCTCATTGAAGAAGATAATGGGGCGACCTCCTTAGCTTAGCATTGTTAATATCCCCACACCTGGTGCATCACACTCTAGCCCAAACAACTGATTGAAATTTGAAAATGCCAAGACTGGAGCTTGGGTCACATTTTCCTTTAGTGCGTTAAAACTATTCTGAGCTGCATCCGTCCACTAGAATTTCTATCCCTTCAAATGTTCTTGTCAGAGAAGCAGTGATGGTACTAAATCTCCTAAAGAATCGCCTGTAAAATGATGCTAGTTCTAAAAATTGCGCCTTCTCGATAAAAGACTCTCACAATAGCCTCGATCTTTCTAGGATCCAGCTGAATGTCTGCACGATAAAAGTCAAAAAGCATATTTAAGCAGTCATAAAGGACACTTCTTTGCTTTATTGCTCGCAACACCTTGAATAATCAACAATATACCAGAATTTCGTCGAAGTATAACACAAAAATTTCTCAATGCGTGCTTGAAATACCTTATTCATCAATCTCTTAAAAGTGTTGGGCGCGTTTTACAATCAAAAGGGCATAACTATCCATTTGTATAAATCATCCCGTGTCTTGAAAGCGGTCTTTCCACTCATCCCCCTAGCCTCATCTGGATATTATGAAACCCAATGTGAAAATCAATCTTGGAAAAGAGGGTGGCTCCGTGCAACTAAGGCATGGGGAATCGATATTTGATAGTGATTTTATTGATAGCTCAACTGTTAATGCACACCCGCCACAAATCATCTTTACTGGGTACCATCAGAACGAGGACAACACACAAACTTGTACTCTCTCTGATCAACTCTCCTGAAATGAGATTTTGAACCCATCGCTGCAACTCCTCGTACTCCGCAGGTCTCGATCTTTAGATAGATTGATTTGCAACATTAATTTGGGTATGAGATCAATGGTGTGCCGAATGTCTCTCAATTGTGATAATCCCTTGGGAAGACTGTTGGTCATCATATCCTGGAAGCCATGTAACAATGAATGTAGCAACACTTGTATCTCACTCTCCTCCTCAGTGTTTTCTACGCCTCTCGCATCCTTAATAGGTAACAATACAATGCATTTCCCATCATTTTTAAAAGAGTAAGTATTATTGAAGCCGTCATGTTGAGTCTTGCGTTCAAACTGTCAAATCCTACTCCAATAGAAAATAGCACGCGTCCATCAAAACCACGTCACACCACACTTGTTCCTGTTAATTGATCCCCAAATGAAAATTCAACTAAGCACCACTAATCGAATTGTATCTCATTTCCCCACTTCAACCAAGTAAAGGAATATGATTGAGGAAGTTTGTGTGTGGACAAACTCAATTTCTTCACCATTGACGCGGACCATCGATAATTAAAATACAAACTTTTCCCTTCACAATACACTTGGTGCAAAAGATATTGTACCGCAACCATGAACTGCCCCACTCTTCACCCTGCACTGAAGTTCTTCCTATGGACTATCCTTTGATGCCTCATCCTTCGCCTTCTCGACGATGCCATGATATATGAATGAAACAACTCAGCTCGTGGCACAACTAAGGTTGCGTCCGTAGTCGTGGCAGCTGAAACACTTCCTGACAGGCATTGTACTAGGCAAACTACATTTTTTTGCCTTCTTTCCACTCAGATTTGTCTTATCACCCCCTATGTTGTCCTGCCAACTCCTTCAGAGGTACCATTGTGGGTCGTTGTAGATGTAGTTGTAGGTGACTGTCTGATTGAGGACTATTGTCTAAATAAGGATTGTTGCCTGCTCTATTTCTGATGTATTTCCACCTTCAAGGCTAAGCTTTGGACATCCCCTAGTATCCGGTGTGGTTACAACTACACAATCATGCTAATAATGGGCTTCAAAATAAGGCTTCTGCTCCGGCCACTGCAGCAGCCGACATGCTATGGAATCGCAACTCATAATTTTGACTCTGATGGTATAATCATAAGGTATGAAACTGATTTTAACGATACTTGATACTTTCATTTCCTTTCTCTTACTTCCATTTCGTGATTTGACTAATTTTTTGTGCATTATTCGTTTCAGGTAGTTGTTGGAGGAGCTGAACTTGTGTTGGAAGTGTCCTGAGTGTTTTGTGAGTTTTCATAAGAATTTTAGCACTATATCATCAAAAGAGGAAAGAAAATTATACGTTTTAGAAAGAAAATAGAAGATATTCAAAAAGACAGATTTTTTGTCGGGAAGCCTATTTGAGGTAAGAATGTTACAATTTTCGGTTAAATTACTTTTTGAGCCGAAAATTTATAAAATCCTAAGATATTTACAGATTTTAGGTTGTTTGCAAAAGATAATAAGTACAAGGCAAGCTTGTAGAAGATCGTCGTAGGATGACACCGTAAATTTTAGGTAACATAATCCTATGTTATTTTAAGAATAATAATTCAATTTAATAGAAATCTCTTGAATCTTAAAGCTTAACATTATTTTTTTAGGTTATTAAGATCAACATAAAGTCACCGCAACCTACAACTATCTATCGAACATTAAAATTTTAGCATGGTAACCGAAGTAAGTAATTATACTTCTAAATTTCAATAATTTTCTTTATTTCAGATTGTATATTTGATTCTATGTATGATCTAGTTTAGTTAGATTCTTTATATTGGTAGATTAGAAAAGATATGCATGAAAAAAATGATATACAAGATATGTATGAGATGCAAGATATGTATCATGATATGCAAGAAATGTATCATGATCTGCAAGATATGCATGATAGAATAAATACGCATGATAAGCATGATGACAAATGACATGCATGATGTAAGTAAGAATATGCATGATATGAGAGTTATGTATGATAAATTGTTACATAATAGAGTAAATATAACAGAGTAAATATGCAAGTTAGTAGATACATAAAATTATCTTAACATAATTTATGTTATAAGAATAATGTATGTTATAAAGAATAAAATAGCTTATATATGAATGATTATATGTACATGTTCAGAGGGAGTGAAATGTACATGTTCAGAGGGAGTGAAATGTACATGTTCAGAGGAAGATTTCACCCCCTAATAGTACAGACAGAGAACGCCAATGAACCCACGCGCTTTTCTACCACCCCAGAAAAAATTATGATAGTTAAATAACTAACCGCTGTACCGATGTGATAATAGAGGATAAAGACAAGTAGACTAGAACTTATCTTCTCAAACAATTATAATATTTACATTGCTAACTGTTGTGCCGACGTGATAATATCAATTAGAAGCGGTTAAGGTTTTTTTCACCTTAAACAATTGCGATGTGTAGATTGCTAACCGCTGTGCCAATGAGGGTCGAAGAGACAATATCGACCAAGGGTATAAGTTTTTGTTGACGATGATCCTCACAAAGACAGAAATGTATGTAAAGAGTATAAATTAAAAGTAAAGTTAAGATAACTGCATATAAAAAATTAATGTATGTTCATTTAGAAAAAAATCATTGATATATGCATTAACATATATAAGATTTCTTATAAAATTTTGAAAGTTTAGCATATTAAAAAATTTCTTATAGAGATATGAAAGATCAACATGCATATTGTATTTTTTTCATTGGATTATTGCATTTTAGAAGTGTGATTGCTCCTGGGTTATCTTTAGATAACTCATTATGTTGCTTTAATTTTATTTTTAAGTTTTAAGCTTTGAACAAGATGAATTGAAGAGGAGCAAATGCATATAAAAGCGAGAACAATAAACAGAAATGTATACATTTCTGCTTGTTAATTTTAATTGTTTTCGTTAGTAGCTCTTTCACATGTTATTTACATATTAAACTACTTGTGATGGAAACAAACTAACAGAAAATTTATTTCCATCATCCAACTGTGCTTTCCTTTCTTGATTAATTCCAAGCCCCAGGTTGGGTCATAACACTATCCCCCCTTCAACTCTCTGAATTACAATCGAGGGTAATCTCCCCCTGAGTTCCAACATCAATCTTCACGAGCCCTTTGTTGAAGCCAATGAATCTCCCGCTATATCTCATCACAGATAGTTTCCAACATGTATTTTCATGACAACATGATAAGAGCTTGGGTTTGGAATGGGTGGCTAAGAATTGCAAAAAAAAATAATCTAAAAAGAACATATCATGAATATTATTGCAAAAAAATTGAAAGGAAACACAACAAATGTTCTTGAAACTGGAACAAAAAACCATTAAACATACAACAATAGCCTAGGGTGAGAGCAACATGGGTGAACACCAGTTGGACAACAGGTGGGATGATTGGTTAGGGGATGCGATAACAGTGGAAGGAGTTTGAGGGGTGGCGATGGCAACTGGGTATGGTGGAGGGGTTACGGATGCTTGTTGGAGGGGTTGGGACAGGTGGTTGTAGCGGTTGGAAGAGGTGGAGAAGGTTGCGGCGAAAGTGAAAGGTATGGGAGGGATTACAACAAGGTCCGGAAAGGGTCAGAGAGGTTTACGACAAGGGTGGAAGGTCAGTGAGGGATTACACTAGGGCCAGCAAGGGGTCAGAGGGGTTTGCGACATGGGTGGAAGGTCTGGGAGGGATTACAACAAGGTTTGGTTAGAGGAGTTAGCGGCAAGGCCTAAGCAGCTAGAAGGGCGTTGGAGGGTTGTCGGCTGAAGGTCAACGGGCCAGGGAAAAGGAATACAGTGAGGAATCATTGAGATAATCACCACCTCGAAGCGGCAAATAACCGAAGCACCACCCATCCGAGGATATAAGTCGTAGCAAGGGAAACGCTTGGAGGCAGAAATCAGAAATCAACAAAAACTAAACCCTAAAACACACAAGAAGCGTAAATATAATGCTAGAGAGAATAGGAGGGGAGAGACATAGAGCAGTAGTTCCTGCCCATCGAATCAGCCAGCCGGTCCACCCTCCACATCATAATAATAAATATTTTTCAATAGTAAGAGAGAAAAATAATAAATATATGATATACTTTTATAAAATTGAATGTGAAAATCTTAAATGTATCCAATGATTTAGGCGGAAGGAAGTAAAACTGAAGACTATTTGACAAAACAAATCATTTAAAACTGAGGATGGTACATACATTTTCTTATACCAATCAAACTTTATTATAAATTACTTATGATTTATCTCTAATTTTGAAAATATTGATCATACTGAAATGAATACCACAGGTTTTAAGCCCTGCTTACATTTTATTAGATAGGATATTGAGCAGTAAAGTGAATGCAAGTAAAATGAATTATATAGAAGTGCATACATTTACATGTTGATTAAGGAAATTCATCTACTTACATAATCATTGATAATGTTAAAATACTAGCGCATAAAATGATTGTACGTTCGCAAGTTGGAAAAATGATATTAATATTGTCGTGCTTTAAATGATACAATTAGATAATATTCTTGTTGATTGTATTATAAAAAAAATGAAAATGAAACAGAAAACATGATCTGTGATGATTTCCTTCTCATTCATACTATTCTTCAAACCTTTCATGTAGTCATTGCAGCTGCGTATCCCCATGATTTTAATATACTAAAAACTAATGGAAACAAAAGAGACCACGAATATCAGCTCCCCTATTTTCTTTCATGTATCAGATGTTTGTTTGTGAACAACCAACTGAACTCCTAATTTTCTAATGACTAGTTGCAATCATCCAACCGTTGTTGATGTGTTTTTAGATTGTTATTCCCAACTAGTATTTAGTCATTGCTTCCAGCCAGTCGGTGTAGATTGGACGTTTAATTGTTAACTGGTGACAAAAATAAAATTGATTTTAAATCCATGCCATCCAATTTTTACAGATTAATACAAATTACCCATATATCTAGCTGCCAAAGAATTTTTATGGTAAAATCCTAACGCATTTGCATACTAAAAGTTTATTTGTGCAGCAGTAATTACAGCAGAACAGCCCCTCAGGTAGGTTCCATAGTCTCCTTACAGCATGTAAGTGTAATTATGAAAATAAAGGCACAAAATATTGACAAAACATTATATGAAAAAAAAAAACTGAAGAAGATATTTGAAGGCTACCTTAGCTGAATATAAAATTACATCCTCCTTAGTCAGTTTAAGAGAATGACTACCTCCAAAGGATGCTAGATTTAGAGCAGCTCGCGGCTCCGCCTGACACAATATTGTGCACGGTGAAACTCTACCTATACCATTGCAGATAAAGACTGCTGAATCTCAAATTTTCTGGCTATGTAATTAAGAATATCATCTTACCTGAGAGCCAGTTGTAACAATTAATAAACCATTAGGTGGATAGGCATCAATGTCCTCCACTTTCACCTACAAATCAGTACACCAGTTTACTTATCTACAAAACAGTTTTAGAAATAGATAGAATAAAGAAAATATAATAAAAAGATTTGCAAGAGAAATGATACAAAACAATGTGTACCTTGGCCCGCTTAAAATTTTATGAGGGTACCAAGGGCTTTTTTTTAAATGTTAAAAGTGTGAAATAGAAATGGGAAGAAAGAGGCTTCAGCAGCTGTCTTTTGGTTTGCGAGAAAGGGAAGCGACTTTCCCCTTTGGAAGTGGCTGGTTAAATTCTTAGCTTTTTGACTTTGGGCTTTTCACATTCACAATTCCCAAAAACGTTGTTCATAACATTTTTATACTTTTAAAATTTTAGTGATGCTTGCACACAAACAAAAACACATGTTCATACTCAAATACAAATTAGTTTACCATAAAATATATTGTATATGTATTATTATATACACAATGACACTAATCAATCCATAATCCATTAATTAAGCCAAATAACAGACATTGAAATTTGCAAATTTGCAATATATATCATATCGGATGGTCTATTATTAATTTACAATAATATAATATGTACAATAAAAAATATAAAAATATATATAAATTATTAATAATGTATAATTTATCTTAAAATATTATTACATAGTTGTTATGTAAATGTGGCTTTAAACAGGCATGTCTATAAATATATTAAATTTATTGGATTTATTCGGTACTTCTCCTATCCAACCAGATAACAGAAAATAGGAAGCTTTGTTTAGCTGTTCGAATAAAACAACTTTTTTAGAAATGATTTCCTCAACTAGTAATTTGAGAAGTAGTACTTGTCATTTCCTCGAGCGTATGGACAACCAAATAGGCTTAAGTGCATGTACATACAAGAGGGCATACTAATAGGCCTCTTAAATGGACGCGTCCTAGTTCCCAAACCATGCCTCACCATTTTGCTTCTATAAAACAGCAGCAGCAACAACAACAACAAGACTTTAGCCCACTAAGAGAGATCGGCTACAAGAATCCTTTTTCTCCATTGTGTCCTATTGAGTGTCAAATTTTCATTTAATTAAAATAAATTAAGATCATTTTTATACATTATGCCAAAGTCTTTCTAGGTTTACCTTTGAATTTTTTAACATAAGTCGAATCTAAAACATCTACTCTCCTAATCAGATCATCAAATAATCGAAGTTTAATGTGACCAAACCATCTAAGACGACTCTCTCTAATTTTGTCCCCCACTGGAGCTACACCAACCCTATCATGGATATATTCATTTCGCAATTTGTCTCTAAGTGTCCAACCACTCATCCATCTAAGTATTCTTATCTCGACAACACTTAACTTTGTTTTATGCTTCTCATTTAAAGGCCAACATTATGCGCCATAGAGCATTGCAGGTCTCACCACCATTTTATAGAACTTTCCTTTCATTCTAAGCGGAACTTTTCTATCACACAATATGCCTGAAGCATTCCTCCATTTCAACCAACCAACTTGAATTCTACTAATAACATCCCGATCTATATCACCATCACTTTGAACAATAGTCGAGACATCTAAAGCATTCACATCTTTTAATGATTTGATCAACCATAATTACAACTTTGCCATTAGAGCTACTCTAAAATTTTATTTTGTAATAAATAAAAAAGTTAACTTTGTTGGCAACGACACCTACTATGCAGGTGTCGTTAGAGCGAGATCACACTGCTCATGGGAGTGTTAAGATAAGGATATTTCCACGTCTCCTTTCATTCGAACCCAGCGAGAGAGAGGGATGGTGGGAAGCCAAAGAGAGGAAGAGAGAAAGCCAGAAGAAGAACAAGAGGAAAGAGGAAGAAAAATAAGAAGAAAGAAGAAATCAAGGAAGAAGAAGAAGCAACACAATAATAGAGGGAGAAGAAAAAGAAATGGGAGGAGAAAGTTACCTTTAATTATGGCATATTCCTCGCATGAAAGAAGCTCGAGCGTGCCTCGGTCGAGTGCCATGAGCAGCAAAGGAAAGGAGGAAGAAGAAGAGGAAGCTCGCTCGGCTACTTGGAGTGCTTGTGCTTGAGCGGCTCACCTAAGCCGTTCGCTTTTGCCATCAACAATCCTTAAGTTGTGCGAAGACTTCCCTGAGCAAATCTAGAAAGATGGGGAGGCATTCTTGTCCTAGCTGTCATGCAGCTTGCAGTGGAAGGAGGCAAGATTATACTTGTTGTGCGGCCCACAAAAGATAAAGGAGAGCTTTTGCAGCTTGTAGGAAGCTCGATCAAGAGCTTGGAGAGGAAGGAAGGCTCATCGGGATCCATCCCGCGTGCGTAAAGTGCTAGACCGAAGCCCATATGTTTGGTTCGAATGACTTGCGGAAGAAAGAGATCTTAAAAAGGTAAAATATTAAATTTATTTAAGTTATCAATTGTAATTGATTTAAATTAAGTTACAAAATATAATTCCTAAAAAAATCAATTAATTTTCAGAAAAATCCTAATGTTGATTCTTACAATTTTAGGTGATTGGTGAGAAAGCCAAGGCAAAAAAAAGAGAGGAAAACTTCAGGTACAAAGTTAAATTTGCGAAAATTAATTAAGACTTTTCTTTTAAAATAATGTTAAAAAGAAAATTAAGGATCCTAAATTTAAAATTTAGTTATATAATAAGTTGATATTAAGTAGGTATGCAAAACGAAAAAATTTTAGAAGTTTAAACATAAAAAGAAATTGAATATTCCTACATATATATGTATATATGTATATATGTTTAGCTAATACAAATACATATATATGTATATTTTTATATTTTTATAGATAAATAAATAGCTATTGAAATAAAAAAATTATAAAAATAATGATAAAAAATCTAGAAGCAATAAGAGAGAAGATCAGCATTGAACAAGTTGACTATATTTAAATTGTTATTATAGGTTTAACCTAAGGACTAGACTGACCTGAGAAAAGGATAGCAGACGACACTATTGAGGTGGATAACGTGTTTTTATTTTACAATAGTTTCATTGATTTACACATGATTTGACGTTAATTTACGCATGATTTGACGGTTTCACAACTTTTATTTCTAAAATGCAAAAGCCCAAGTTTCCTTTTAAAAGTTAAATGCAAGTTTTTTTTTAATATTAAATGCAATATAAAAATGAATAAAATATGATTTATGCATACACATGTGAGTCAACCATTGATGGTAATGACAGGAGAATGCAATGTACCCGGACACAAAATGCAAAAGGAAATGAAAATATAATAGAAAAAAGGTGTCTACCTTTATGGTGGGTTGGAAAAGATTAAACATACTTTTATAAAGTATAAGTTTAGACGATGACTCCCAATTATGAAAAGTGCAATTTAAATAAATGAAAGAAAATGAAATTATTTTTTACTGTTTTCTTTTATCCACATCTTTTACTGTTACCGCATTTTTACAAAATATAAGTTGCTAACCCCAAGGAGTACGATACAGATGTTGTGGAGTGCAAGCTAATAAGTATTGCAATTTAGTTTATTTTATGCAAAAATGTAAATGTTTAAATATGAACAATCTATTGTAAATATAAGTTTTATGAACTTGAATAGCTCTTTTGTGTTTTGGATTTTAACTCCTATGATGGAATAAAACTGTTAGCTAAGACTTCCTTCGTCCGACCGTAAGTTCTTGCCTTGGTAATTCCAAGCTCATCGAGCCAGATCATGACAACATTGCATTTATTTAGTTTTAGTTATACTCAAACGAAGACCTTTAGACTCCAATGCAAATCTCCATAATTAAAGTTTTTTCTGAACTCTTTCTCTAGTCTTATCCACAAGAAGGATATCATCAGTTAAAAACATACACCAAATGAATTTCCAGAGAAAAGTAGGGGAATAAAAGGGATTTCTATATAATACATGCAACGACTTCCTCAAAATGAAACTAGAATTTACAAAGTTTTCATATTTTGTGTTAATATTTACGATGAACTTGTGCAAAATATAATAACAGTATGCATAACATACTAAAGTTGAAGGATCCATTGGAGCCTTTCCATCTCTGAAAGCAGCATCTAAGTAAGTCCTCAAGGACATTCCCACAAATACCTGTAGCATGCATGAACACAAAGTGATTGAATGTGTCAATGTAAAAAAAAAACTAATTACAAGACCAAATCATGCAAAGAAACTTACCAATTTTCTACCAGTTAAATCAGCAGCAGCTTTCACACTACCAATACGATGAATATTAGATGCAAACTGGGTCGTTATAACTCTTCCTTTAACAGATGAAATATGCCTTAACAACGATTCTGCAACAACAGCCTCACTTAAAGTTCTTCCAGGGGAAAGGACATTAGTTGAGTCGCTCATCATCTGGAAAGTTCACAATAAGAAGTTTATTTTTTTAACTTGGTTCTCAACATACAATGCATAACAAAGTAAGGTGCAAAATTCAGCTTAATAAAAATGAAAGATTGATAAGAACTTCAAGATATTGCAGCAACAGGAATTGAAGTCAGTCAGTCAGATTATAATAAGATGCCTACAAATGGCCATTAGTTATCAGAAAAATATATCATAACAAACACCACTAGATACAAGTAGACAAAATATTTGCATGATGTAAGCATATATACATAATTGACCAATACAAAATGTGAAATTTTATAAATTTCCTCCGGATCATATTAAGAAATGTAAAAATTGGATATAAATTTGCAGTCAATTTTAATCTCATCTTTGCCCATTTTTGGGTATCATAATCTCCATGTACAAAGATGTAACCTTCTCGATCATCATTTCCACACTATCTTACAGAGATTGATGAAATCCTGGGCATGTCTAATCAATTTCATCAAACTATAGAAGAGATGCCCTGCAATAACTGTTAAAGAACATCAAAGTTTGCACGTCACAAGGGAATAAAGAAACACCAAATTGTTTCAAAGACCGGCAACTGCAAATATCAGTCAAGAAGCAAAGAAGGATGGCAAAGGGCATCATTTAAACTCAATTTTTTACTCATGGCCCATCAAATCAGTAAGTAATTTGAAGTGATCCTATAAGGGTTACCCCTTCAATACTAGTTTACCGAACACAGCTTAAAAATAAAGATTATGCCATAAACAAATCCAGGATTAACATTCATCGTGATCATAACCATCAGGCCTTAGCCAAATTAATGGCTTTACTGATAAATGTTCATCTTAACAAGTTTCACATGAGGCGTTGAACTGTAAGCCAATCTTAATTCAATGGTCAATGGCATCTTAATGAAATACTAAAAAAACATGCAAAATAGCTTTTTCCTGCAGTGCCACAAGTTGAATTTTACAGTAGCATATAGATCACATCATAACACACAGACATTGGATAGAACGAGTCCTTCCTTCAACCAAAAGCTTCAGACTGCCTAGCAACCCTAACAAGCTAAAAATAATTAAGAAGTTCATTTTTACAAACAGAAGATACAATGCATGTACTGTAGAAACAACATTCAAGAGCAAAGCGTCATTGAGTTCATAAGAAGTTTTCTAACATCGAAAAGAAAAGCAAAACTGTAAAGAATGCAACATTGCTAAAACTTACTAAAGTCACTCCTTCTTTAGAAAGCTCCTCCAATGATTCACGATCAAAAGCTTTCCCATCCAAAGGAGATTCATCAATCTGTGATAGATTTCCCTAATTACCCATCCACATGATATTTTATTGATAGATGATCCGCTAATATTGTAGTTTTACCTTCCAGTCACCGGTATGAAAAACTGTACCATCTTTGCACCGGAGGACTAAACCACAGCAATCTGGGATAGAATGAGTTACTCGGAGTGGCTCCACTTCAAATGGTCCCGCCAGAAATTTCTCCCTACATTTAAAAACCTTAAGCCTGGATGGAATGAAAATTCCAAATTCCTTCAAACGCTTCTTGATGAGCTGTTGGAAAACATAAAAGGTTTTTGTTTTCATTTATTAATCAAAATTAAAGTATTAAAAAGCCATAACGTTCTGTACATTGCACATAGGTAGTGTGGAGCTTCATTGGTAGTACCTCCATTGTGAATGACGAAGCATAAACTGGAGTATTGGAATCTAGAGCTGGAATAACCTGATTCAGCAGCCAAAATGAAAGCAGAAACCATAATGATAAAAAATTACTTACGCACAAATACACAATAGTACACTAACCTATTAACAAAACTTGAACCATGTAATAATAACTAATAGCAGTAGTTTTGCAAGTAATGGCACGAAAATTTGCAAACAGTCAGAACAATAACCAGAAGCAAGACATGAATCACATGTAGTGTATACAAAACAAAAACAAAATAAATATGAATCAAATATTTAACGTATCAAAGGGATTTCATATGAAACCCCTCAAGTAGAATGAAGTTGAACTCTTAGACAATGAGACGTCTTTTGATGTAATAGTGGAATTTCATTAAATACTATGAGGCCACTAGGATGGGTGACCTCATTAGAAGTTACACCAATGGGCCAAACTGTGAGGCCACTAAGCCAAAGCGGATAACACCATGATGGGTTAGAGTTCTGGCTGTCGCAAATGGTATCAGAGCATAACACCAACCGGAAGATGGGAAGTACGTGTCATAAAGAGCAAAGTGATACGCCATGGGAGCCACCTCTTGAACCCTGGATAAGACAAAGTGCAACATGATGAGAACCACCTCTTGAATTTGTAGGGGCCAAATCTAGAGTCTTGTTTGCCTATTGGATAATTTTGGGTATAAAGAACTGACGAGGACGTCAACTACTTAAGTGGGGGAGATTGTGGAACCCCTTAAGTAGAATGAAGTTGAACTCTTAAACATCGAAGTGAATTTTGGTGTAACGGTGGAATTTCATTAGAAACTCCAAAGTTAAGCATGCTTAAATGAGAGCACTTTTAAGATGGGTGACCTCCTGGGAAGTTACACTAATAAGGCAAAACAAAAATGAAAAATGATCTAACTTCAAAATCTGGGATCAAGAAAACTTGAAGGTATAACTATGAATAGCATTGGTTCAAAATTACTCAGATATTATCACTGAAGGTTCACAGGCTTGGTTTAATTGATTCATATTAAGATCGGCTTAGAAGCGCACAACATGACTCTAATGCAGGGAACGGTGAATCCAGCTCTCCACAAGAGCAAATTTGAGCCCACTTTGAAAGAAGAACATCCCAAGACACAAAAAAGAATGGATAGATGCAAGCATTGCAATCTATTCAAAAAATTTGACAGCCTACACATCCAGAAAGTTTGACCCTTTCATCCAAAGATGATTACACAATGTCATATCATATCAATGGGTTGCCTCTAAAAGCGAGACTTGGGTTAGCGGGAGCTTCAAGTTTAAATTTGGTCTACTTCAAAGAAAAATTTTCAGCATGGGTTAAAGTAGGATCAACTTCAGTAAAGGTCACATTCATCCCAACTAAATAGTTGAGGACAAGAGCTTATGGAGTATGCTAGCCCAAAAGTGGAGACTAGAATTTATGGCATAAGCTGGCACAGATCAACATAGGAACTCAGAAATGTTAGCCAGGCAGGAGAAAAATAGATGCTTAAAGCATTTAAGGGCCTAAACCAAAGACATACACTAGCCTAGGTCTAAATCCAAAGGAATGCCTATAGATTTTGTCACAATCCAACCAGGGAGCTTAAATTTACCAAAACAAAAGCACAGTCTAATGAAAATTTCAAATTTCAGTTACTAACATTAACTAACAGAAAATAACTATTCAACTTAATTCCTATATTAGTAACTTCCAATAAATAGAACGATCCACTAAAAAAAGAAGTACAATTAAATCAAAATTAAAGTGTTCTGTGTACTACGCTGCCACCATGTATATGACTAACATAATATGTGTACCCTTACATATATGACAAACAATCTCTTCTTTCACTCATTTTTAAGACGATGTTATTTCCCTAATATATTATTTAAAATTATTGTAAGTTATCAACAACTCAATACATACATAATACTTTATAAATTACGAATACAATATGCATGTTTTTTAAATTTAATCTACCAGTTTAAGAATCATTTAGTAAATTATTTATTTAAAAATAAATAAGTAGAAGATTTTAAAATGTTTTATTTTAAAGTAATAACAATATCATTTCTTCTCAATATCATTTTACATATTACATCCATCACAAAAACACCATGTAAAGTGAATTATTTAAGATACTTCAATATCACTATTTTTTTTATTTTATGTGCGCAATAATTTAATGTCTCCAACTAGTATAATAAGAGGGTAAAATTCATCAATAGCATTTCATTCACATTTTCATATCATATAATATAATTTTTATAACAACTAGTGTATATGATAAAAAATTAAACATATTAAGAGATATGTGCGATATTTATTTCAATATTAAAAAAAACATATAAATAATTATTAAATTTATAATATTAATATATCTAAATAAATAACAATATTATCTAATTCATTATATTTAGAAGGACTAACAATATTGTTCTAGCTACAAAATGAGTATCCACCTCAATATATGACTTGTTTTTGTCTCCTTGCTCCTTAGCATTTATTTCCTTTAATTTTAAGCCTATAATAACAATTAAAATATTCATGTTAATAGATTTTAATGAAATTATTCAATTAACAATTATTAACAATTCTAATATTTCAAATAGAATTAGCATATTATTTTTATTAGAATATTAATCGTACAAAATTTATCAAAAATACATAACTTGCATTAAATTTCCTTTACTCTGTCCTTGGTATTTAATATAAATCCTATTTACTTTATTTCTGTTGTCACTTTCATGCCATAGTTATAGTCATTACAATTCTATATATTATATGTACCTTTATTACTAATTGTCCTGATTATTTACTTAGTTTTTTCATTCAGTCGAATATGTAAATCTTATTCAATTACTTTCTATTTTTATTTACAGAAATACTGCAAACTAATTTAATATCATCAATAAATCCCTATTTTTTTAATTTCAAGTTTACGTATAATGTAATGTTATATTTAAATTAAAAATACAAATCATTATAATTAGATTATTATCTTTTAATTTTATACAAAAATTATAAAAAATGATTTAATAATATGAATCTTTTAATACAAATTAAAAATCTAGTATACTAAAATAAAACAACATGTTAACTTTATTGTATTTCAAAATTAAAAAGAAAGAAAGAAAATGCTTCCCTAATTTATTGCATAAATGCTTCACTTAAAACTCATCGTCAAAACTTATTAGAAACTTGAGTGCTTGTTTATTGCTTCTCCTTTCCTCCTCATTTTTTGACTTACTCATCCACATCTACACACATTAAACTATCTTCATTAATTTTTAAATCCTTCACAAAATCCTAATCAAATTTATATTAGGATATAAGGGTTTATATAAATACCAAAGAAAACATAAATAAAACTAGATCTTGGAGGGAGGATAAGAATAAAAAGCTCTAGCCATCAAGTCCACACACAAATCCATCGCTTACGTTTGAATCCTAGTCACTTGCCCTCACACATGCTTCACCTGGTCGCTTCCTCCAGTATCATCCCTCACACAACTCGCGACACTCAAGCTTGTATGTCGCTCACCTACCCTTGCCCTACGCTTGATTCAAGTAATCTCTCTCACTCGTTTGAGCTCCCTCTTGCAATCTCTCTATGCTTGCTCGCCCAACTCACCTCCCTATGCTTGCTCGCCCAACCAAGATGAGAATGGACGGTCGAATGATGGAAATCAATTCTCTGTTATTCTAAGCCTATAATTGGCAATTGAATATTAAAATAATATATGAAGGGGCAACCAAAGAATGCAATTAAAATTAACAAGTAGAAATTTGTACATTCCGTTTGTTGTTTTCGTCTTCTATACATTTTTTTTCCTCTTCTATTCATCTTGTTCAAATGTTTAAAACTTAGAAATAAAATTAAAGCAACGTAGTGAGTTATCTAAAGATAATTTAGGAGTAATTACAATTTTAAACTACAGTAATTTAAAAAAAAGAATTCAATATTCATGCAGGTCTATAACAAATCTTATAATATGTTAATTTTTCATGTTTTTATAAACAATATGATATATGTTAATGCATTTATCAATTACTTTTTCTAAAGAAAATTACTCAATCTTCTATAAACATATACTTTAACTTTACTTTCACTTTATACTTTACATACACTTTTGTCTTTGTGAGGATAACCATCAACAAATCTAACACACCATTGGTAGATATTATCCTAACGACACAGTTGTTGGCGATCTACATATCGCAATTGTCTATAGTGGAAAAACCCTTACCTAACCCAGACCAATATTATTCTGTAGGCACACCGATTAATAATGTAAATATTGCAATTGTCTAGGGAGGTAAGCTTCGGTCTGCTCGCCCCTGATCGATATTAACCCGTTGGCACAACGATTAATTAACTATCACAATTGTATGGGGTGGTAGATAAACTCTACGAGTGCAAGTACACTGGCATCCCCTGCCTGTACCGTTAAGGGTTGAACTCCTCTGATCATGCACATATAAACATTCATATATAAGCTATTTCATTCTTCATACATCCATTATTCTGAGCATTTTTATGTAATCTACTAACATGCATACTTACTCTTACTCTATTGCATCTCCGTAGCATTCATATATATATCTCATGCATATCTCTTACCCATGTCATGCATATCATTTTTTATTGTGATTATCATGTGTATCAATCCTATTATTTCTATCTAATACATCATATCTATAATACATATCATACCTCACACATATATCTTTTAAGCATATCTTTCATATAAATAAAAACGTATGAAATTACAAGTATCTATTGTAATATAAATCTCACTGAACTGTAGCATACAAGTAATCAAAATACATTTTGAAATAAAAACAATTACTAAAATTTAGAAATATAATTATTCACCTCAATTATCACGAGAGTAATTAGTTGATCGTTGGATAACCCTTCTATTGATTTATATAATCTAAAGAACAAAATTAAACTTTAAGATTCAACCAATTTCCGCAATCAAATTATTCATCTTAATTTAGCATAGAATTATTTACATGGATTTACGGAGCTAGAC